TCACGATTCGCCTTGAATTTCGATTTTACTATCGTTGCTCTCGCGATTTCTCCCCTTGCAAAGTCATCGTTAAAAGGATTTCGTAGCTTTTTTCCCCTTTTTTCTCGCTTTACAATCCACGACTTCACTTCACCGATGTCACTTCGTCGCCTCTTCTCCTTCGCTTTCTCCCTTTCGTTACGCGCATAAGCCTATTCCCTCGTACGCAGATTCTTTTCGCTAGCACACTTTTTCTTCCCTCTCCTCCTCGCTTTTTCTTCATTTTCTGCCTGCCAATCTTTTGTCCCGTGTCTTTCCTCGCTCATCCAACCTGCCCCCGAGAGGATATTTCACCTTCGTCTCGACTGTTCCTCCGCTTTTTTCGTTCTTCTATTTGCAAACACGATTTATCATCCTGTTTTTTATTTATTGGAACAATATATTTTTATTTATAGCGAGACAAGAAGATTTTTCGTAAGAAAATCTCTTTGAATATATTGGATTATTTATAGATAAAAAATTATATATAATACTAATTTCTGTAAGAAGATGAACGATTTTTTTTTTTGCTAAAATTCTAATTAAAGTGAAATCATTTATTAAAAATAGATGAGTGTCTTCATTTCATCATATATATAAAAAGTTTTTATGTTCTACATGTTGGAAAAAAATAATAAAAGCTATATAACATAAGTCTTTTCAATTTAAGTTAAAAGTTAAATGATGTACAGAAACTTGATGTTTTATAAAACTGTGCGATTAAATCATTGTTCTCTAATTTGTATCATGTTCCAAATTTATATTACGCGAACAACTTGAATTTTAAATTAATTCTTACATTTTAATCTGAAATATTTCTATAATATTTGGATAATATATAAAACTTTCGTATTTTTTCATTGTTTAATTATTCATCGATAAAACCATTTCAATACTTAATCACAATATCACCAAGATTAATTATCTTCTATTTACGTAATACAATTTCTTCATATCCTTGAACGAGTATCTTCATATCCTTTTCTTCTCTCCGGAAAAGTTCGTATCTTCGATATACAAACGACGTTCTCGCTTAAAGCATCAGTCGACTTGTCGCACGATAAACTCCCTTTCTATTTCATTTTCTTGATATACACGATCCCGTTTATTAACACATGAATAATTCCCCGCATTGGCTGTGCGAATCCTCCGAAACCCCAGACCGAATCCCTCAGGGACTTTTCCCTCTTTCGAATAATTCTCTTTCTTCCCCCTCTTTGCTTTATCTCTTTTCTCTTCCTGAATCCTTACTGATGCAAGGATTACTTCAGAAATTCCTTTTAGGATAATTCCATAAGATTTACCATCGCTCTTCCGTTTTTCCTGCATTCTCCATCCTCGACGCACAAATGACACGCATATACTTCTCCTTTTTCAACACCCAGAAATTTAATATATTATCTTGAAATCGTTAAGATCCCATTTATTAAGTTCCTCTTTTTCAGAAAGAGGAATTCACCTCCTCTCTCTCTCTATCTCTTTCTCTCTAATCATCGCCTCAATTTTCCGTTTGCGCAACCTTTTCTTTTCTTTCTTTTCTCTTCTTACGTAGGATTGTTTGAACGAAGTAATAAATACTCAAGTTGTTATGTAAAAATTCAATTTATTTAATGAATGACGAGCAATTTAATTTTACACTTTAATTATCTTCTCTTCGTTTCAGCTAATATAAAATTGTCTATTGCATATTAGTTTTCGTGTTTATTCCAATAAATTTTCTACTTATTTTGTTCGAACATTCTGTTCATTCTGTTTTTTCTTTCTTCTCTCTTAATCATGTCGTCTTACGCTCTTTTATCCTTTTTTATGTCTCAACACTTTCTATTTCTATATTTTTCTTTCTATACAATTTCAAGGAGAACATCGTTTATCAACGCTCCACGTCAATGATTATAAATCAGCTTGCATTATTAAAACAATGTACTTTCTCATTTTTAGAGAAACATATTTTTCTCTCTCTCTTTCTTGCCGATCTTCTTCCACTCGAATTCGCCAGCCGATTCTGGATCCCTTTCAAGCATTCCTGATTTACGCCAGCTTTTCGCGATTTTCTTCTCTTTTCTCGGATATTTTAACACGAGTTTTTTTTATCGACGAGGGGTTTTAGTACTATGAGTCACGAAGATATTTAGACACTAATACTTTAACGATCTATACCTTCGTTAATTTTGAAAGAATTTATTATTAACGAAAGATAATTTTTAAGAATCAAATTGTTCAACATTCCTTATGAAATCAAGGAAATATCAAATAATTGCTTTTTTAATTACTTCAATTATTATTAATTACACTTACACGCAACATTGGATACATCTATTAAACAATGTACAAAAATAAAGATACTTGTAATGAAAATCTGATTGATTCTAATAAATCCATTATATTTACAAAAATATATTGGTCAAAGGATATAGATAAAATTAATAATATGTGCACACATACATATATATTATTAAATACCGTTCAGATTTTGAAACTAAAACCATTGAAAATGGGAATGATTCTAATTTTTTGACCACATATTTATTTTTATATCGATTTATTTACCTTATTGTGACGTCAGTCCGTTGAATCAAGTTGAACATAGAGAAATTCTGGTCAGTCCATGTATTTTATGGCAGATGTGGACCATTATTCAAGATTTTTGTGGTGAAACGAGAAATCCACAAACGATATCCGTTCACCTGATTCAGTAGTAGAACCACATCATTCGATGCACATATCGAGAAAAGGAAAAGAGAAAGAGAGGGAAAAAGTGAAGTCTCTGGAAACGAACGAACTCAATCTATATGCAAATGCGTTCATCTTTTATCTCGAGTATGAGCAATCGATGGACGCTTGTCGAGATCCTGTCGTGGTTGCAGTTTCGACTTCAATGCACAATGAACGAGCCACGGGATATCAGCATCTAAGCACTACAAGCGGTGTATAAATAATATCAATAACGAGATGCGCATATTATCTCTCCCCCGCTGATTATTACACTTCAACCTTGATAACTCGTCGAAACTCGAGGAAGTTAAGATTTTCGAACTATGGAAGCTATCTCATTCACTTCTGCAAATAAAATTTGAAATATGAAATCTCAGTTTCATATCTTAGATTCATATAATTCTAAGTTTACTCGTATAAAGAGATTTGTTGGCAAGTTTTTTTTATCCTTGATTTTCATTTCATTTTCCCTCGAAAAATTATACTCCAGCAAGCAATTATTCGATATTTCCTTGATTATATATATGTACAAGGAAAATTTATAAAATTTCTTTCAATTCCTTTAAGAACGAAGGACGTAAAATAAATTTCAAATTTCCTTTGAAGAGTGGTATCGTATCACGCAAGATCTATACACGTGCTATCGTGGCTATTTCGTATTCACGGTGTAATGAAACCATGTTGAATCGCCTTTGTGCATACACTCATAGTAGACTCGGCACAAGCACAATGATGCGCATTGATGCGCTTCGTTACCGGTGTCGGGATTGATTGAAGGATAGTAAAAAACTTGCTTCGTTCATTGATCCTCCATTAATCGTCCATAAATCACGGCCGATCAATTACAAAACGATGTAAATTTCCTTCAACATTAACCGAATAATTAGATTCACTTTGAATATGTTAATAACAAAATAGAACCGGAAATGATAAACGGCACGATGAATATAAAATATAACGTTAATTGATTTGAACAAAATTTCATTTGAATTAATAGTAGCAATTGATTTAATTTAATCAAATTTTCGTAATGAACGATCTGTATTCATTATATATCACTTTAGTGAATTATTAACATAATTAATCGATAATGTCGAGGATAAATAAGATATATGAAGATAAATTTTTATTTACCTTGTGATTTCTTCGATGAGTTTGCAGGGATCGGCCGCGTAGAATTTCACACCGAAATAGAGGGTGTGGACATCCGAGCTCGGATCTCCTTTTTGGACTTTCAATTGTTTTCCAATCTTCTTGCTTGGATCGAGCCATTGCTATAAAAATACGCGGATCACATATACACGTAGCACAGATCGAGTATTTCTCCTAAATAATTAATCCCTTCGATCGATCGAACCGTAAGAGTTACGACGAAACTGTTGGTCAAGCAGACCGGAAATTACAGACAGCTCGACATTTCCTGTGAATAATAATTCTATTCCTCTCCTCCATGGCCCGAGGGTTGATGATATCGGCTCGATTTTTCATCTGATTTTTTTTATTTAATTGAAAAGGGTAAATTATTCGATATCTAGTTCTTTAGATATAATCTAGCATTGATTTATTCGAAATCATACGCGTTAATGATATTGCATTTTGATAATACAAAATTAATTTCTTTAATTATGGAAAAGGAAATGTTACGTTTGCAATTCTTATTCAAAAAGTAAATTAAATTGATGTATTTTTACTTGAATCATAGATATTAGATATTAGAAAATTTTAAAAAAGGATTTTGATTTTAAATATTAGTGATAAAATTTTTAGCATTATCGTTATAATTAATATTGAAATATCCTATATTTTCTAATTATCAATAAACGTAAATCAAAAAATAAAAAAAATCATCTTGATTTTTAGTCAAAATCAAATTTCAATAAAACTAAAAATTTTATGAACAATTCGACCGTTCCATACACAATAATTAACAATAAAAACGTTCCCTTGGAAAACTAATATCAAAAATACGAAACCAGACTTATTTTTTTAAACGATCACGAAATTATGTAAATCGAAGGGCTTGTATTGAAACTTCGATCAAATATAATCTAGACAAAAAACATTTCTTACCGTCTGATTGCCGTGATCCAGGTAACGTAGCCCGAAGTAAGCCGTCTCCAATAAATTCAAATGCCTGAACACCCTGTCCAACAGTTCTTGGCCGAGGTTCGAGCTCTGGAAAAAGTAAGAAAGTAAGAAAGAAAGAAAGAAAGCAAATCGTTGTTTGATTTACCCCCGTCCATAACAATGGAGTTACCGACACGAACGAAATTACTTCCTACATCAATATCGGCGCGAGTATACTTTCGATCCAAGTTCGATCAACCGTGACGATTTAAATCGTGATGCGCACGCGTCATTGACCACGCCGTACTTCCAATTGCATTAAAACGCGTTTATACGCCTTTGCATATCTACGAGATACGAAATACTGGATCCATCGATCCTGATTTCCAAGGGAAGGTTGAGCGACACGTTTCATAACGGTTCTTTTTAACCGGCCGCAAAACCGATTTCCATCTGTTTCCAACCGAAGAGCAACGAGCAATCTGTCATTACGAATCCCGCGGATTTTCGTTTTTCTAACCGCACGGAGGATAATTAACTTCTGTCCGTGGTCGTATCACGATCGAGTGTGCGACGTTAAGTACTACTGTCCATTATCGTTATACGAAGGTATAATGGTTTCAGGGATGTCTTATAATCTTTCTAACATCGCGATAAATAATAAAATGAGAGAGATTGAAATGAGATTGAATTCGATGATCGATTTTTTGATTTTTTTGTTTTTTGTGTATACGTTTTTTTACGCAATGCGATCATTATTTTATAAATGTAATAAGGGAAGGATTTCTTGCTTGTAAGTTTCAGAATGTGGAACGATGTTTTGATTTTTTGAAGTTAAGTATAATTCATTTTGAAGAGAAAAATATTATATACATTTTAGATCTAAAGTATAAATATTTAACAAGATAATATTTATTCTTGTCCTATCATAAACATATTTAATATTTTGATATCTAAACGAGATACAGTTGTCCATTAAACTTTCACTTGGAATACTTTATCAATTAACATACCATACTGCTAATCAAATATTATATCTAGAAATATTAATTTATTTCATCACTTATATCGAAAAATATATATTTTACCATTCCTGTCTTCAAGAATTAGAACACGAGAGAGAAAGACGAGAAATTTTTCAAATCGAAACGATTTATAAAAAACTTTCAATTATATTGATTTCTATGAGCTTATTTTATGCTATACTACTATTTTGATGTTTGTTTATTGATTAATTTGGATATTTCATTAAAGTTATGTAATATTAAACGTATGAATATTTAAAAAAATATTTTTCTTATAAATAAAATCTACCAATCTATCAAAAGTTAAAAAAAAAAAAAAAATAAAGAAATTTTAATAATACTATGAAAAAATCTTAGAAAGAAATTAATCGTCCTTTCAAAAATTCATTTTCGATGCAGTATTCTTGCGAATACCAACATATTCGTAAATATGTATATAATTATTTCGACAAAAGGAAGGGAACAAAAAAAAAAAAATAGAAAAGAAAAAAATTCGAGCAGACGAGTCAGCTATATAATAATTAAAAAGGGAAAAATACGAGGATAATTTGCCGTATCGATTCTGACGTTAATTTAACCGCGAGGTATGCAACCGGTGAACTGAGATTGAAATCGCTGGTTTCCGGTTCCCAGTTTTGTGGTTCAGAATCATGACTCGTTTCTCGTACGAGGAAAACTAACGGGAATCTGTGCGATGCACGTTTTCATTTTCGATCGTTTATTCTTTCAAGATGCATACTTATAGATAGTCATAGATATACGAAGAATATATAGAATAACAAGAAAACGAGATTCAATATTTATAAGATTTATAATATTTAAAAGAATATAATATTCAAGTAAAAAAATATAACGAATTTAACTTGCTTTGCGAAGAAATCAACTTTATTAAATAATAAAAATTAATTTTATAGAAAAAGAATTGCTTTTGGAACTTATGATTAAATATTCTCTCATAATGAATATTAAGTTTCACAAATATCGAATCTCTTTTTCTTTTATCACCCTGTACTAAAATTTTGTTCATAAAATTACTACTTTTCATCCTTTTATCTCTTTCTTTCTATATACTATTTTTTAAAAATTTCTAGACACATTATACGAATCTATATATTACTAACTAACAATACATCGATTATAACAAACATAGAAATATAAACGTAAAAATAATTTTAATTACGATATTAAAATATTTACCAAAGTAAATATTTTATGTAGATAGATATTATCAGCACACGAATCGATACTTACAAACAATGGTGTATCCTCGCATCAAAGAAGATACATTATCTGTCTATCCTCTTAGAAGCGAAACATTCCATAAACCCGACTCTGTATCTCCTTCGATCGTTCGTTATATATACAGAGGAGAAGATGCGTTTCTTGAGCGTGTACACATACACACACATACCGGATGGAATTCGAGGATAATAATTGAAGTCGAGTCTGTGATGCCTCTAACGATCTCGCGGTGGCTCGACTTTGACAAGTTGCGCGCGATATGTATTGATCATCGCCACGCTGTGCACGTATCCGAGAGACAATCGTTAGTTTGCTCCGTTGCGACTGTCACGCTTCGTGATTTGTCGAGGGAAAGCGTTCAGGTCTCGTGAAACCGTGGAATTCGAAGGCAAATTAGAAGCGAGTCTTTCGAATGATCTGGGTAACCGTGTTGATTTTACTTTCGTAGAGATGTTGGAAAATATGTATGGGATGGAATTGATTCTTTTCCCTTTTATGTAAATTTAATTTAAATTATCCAAAAATACTGTGTTTTGATATGATTTTGAAATATTTGTGTGGTGCGATAGCTTTTTGATATGAAATTTCTTATTGCCGAGTGAAATTTCTTCTTAAAATTTTTTTCATATTTTTTAGTTTGTAGAAAAAATTCTTTTTTGTTGTATAAAAAGGATATAATGTACTATGATCTAGATTTGTTATAATATATTATATTATAATAATATTATAATAATAATTATTTAAAAAATGTACAATTTTTATTTAATGTTATTATAATAATTTAATGTTATTATATATATATTATTATATATATATAATATATATAATAAAAATTATATATATATATATATATAATTTAATGTTATTATAATAATTATTATTATATAATATTTATATATAATATTATATATATTATATTATATATAATATTTATTATAATAATTGTTATTATAATAATAATAACATATATAATAACATATATAATAACATTATAATAATTATTATTATTATAATAATAATTATATAATAAATATAATTATTATAATAAATATTATATTATAATAAAAAATTGTATATTTTTTTATTAAAAAGATTTTTTCTATAAAACTGTATGATATTTAAAATTAGATTTGAAAGTTTAAACGATAAAGTTAAAAACTTATAAAGTTTTTAAACGAAGTAATTGGCGTCATAATATTGTGCATAAATAAGTTAACATTTTTTCAAATATTCAACTAAAATAACACGTTATAAATTTTGAAATATCAAAAGGCTTATTAAACCATCGAGTCATTTGAGTATCATTATTTCTCCTATTCTCTCTATATCATTTTCTCTTCAAGTGCTCATTACACCACACAAATATTTCAAATGTACACGGATTATAAAAAATTCTGCGATACTAAACGCATTGTTGATTTCTCTAACGATCAAATAATAATATATAATTTAAATGAAAAAATAATATGAATAATGATATGAATAAACGAAACTTATACCTACATCGAAACCTTCATCTATCTCTAATTATATTAATATTAATAAAATTTGAAAAATAAAATAAATTCTTTTATTCTTTTTCTTAATTATTGCACTTTATAATTGAAAAAATTGTAAATTTAAAGGAAGAGAATGCAATAAAATAATGTATAAATAAATATAATATTATAATTTATATATAATATAAATTATAAATAATTATAAATTAATTAATTATAAAAATTGTATAAATAAAAACACATTATGGAAAAACGAGTGCAAGTCAAATGCAATAATATTATATAACAATATTAATTATATTATATAAATTATATAACATTATATATAACTAATATTAATAACAATAATAAT